TTTTAATAACTCTAATAACAAAATTAATGGTGACAATAATCATAATTATGAAGGGGGTATCAAAGAATCAGTTAATTAGTACTAAGACAAAAGGATCCAACATCAAAAGCATAACGACAACACAACCTCTTTCACAGATTGCTATCAGTCATTGGTTCTTTAGATGTTTTTGCAGCAAGCCTTTAATATGTATCTAATATTCTAATCACCCATCAAAGCAACATAAAAACCTCTTCTTTCCTGTAGAACATAAAAAACTGGAGAACCATTACAACAAAATACCAATTCCGCAGAAGCCAGAAGGTCAAGGATGCCTATGCTGATCAATCCAAAATAAATAGGGGATTCATTAAAAATGATGATAATAATAATAATAATAACATTAATAGGAAGACCAGATAAAATTAACAGGATAAATGGAATACAGAGATATAATTCAAGAAATACAGGATCAGTAGTACTACAAGGCAGGAATGATGAAAATTATCTGCAAATACAGTCAAAATTAGCCATATATATGGCACTTAACAAGATTATTTGTTTCAAAGTTTCTGCTTGAAATTTCTGATCTACTAGGTCAAAATAAACATGCCATATCAGGGAATACATATTGTATTTTAGAAAAGCTATTTGCATAAACAACTTGTTAATCTATTATCTTGTATTAAAAAAAGAACTAATAAAGCTTAAGAGAAAGAAAAAAAGGGTTAAAAAAAAAGGGCAAAAAGAGAAGAGCTTTAGAGCCATTTATACAAGGAACTCACATGAAAATTATAAGAAAACAAATTCACAGGACGGAAGCCAGCTATGCCTATGTATAAGAAAAGATTAAAAAAAAAAAATGCTATGCCTATGTATCAAATGATGCTATGAAGCTGCCATACCACAATCACTCCCTAGAGCCAAGTGTGCTAAGCAGCAAGGCAGCAACAGAATTAGCAGTCTTCAAGTGTTTATATATAAATGACATCCAGAAAGTGTTTTAGAGTCTTCTAGAGCCCAATAAACCAAGGTTGGAAGCCAATACAACTGTACTAGAATCCTTGGGATTCTAGAGTCATTATCATTTATCAACAATCCTACCCCTCAAGGATTGCATCACAAATACTTGAACAAAGCCTAAACAACCTCTCTTTACCTCTAATTTTCCACATGGAGAAGCAGGATTGCTGTTACTAAATTCTCTACACAGGGTAGCCAAGAGCCCAAGAGCAACTATTCTGTACATCTCAGACCACTTAAATAGACTTTAGACTGAATCACAGTCCTTCCAACTTTAAATCCAGGAAACACAGTGAAGCCTACCTTCAGCTTAGTCTTGTCAGAATGCATATATCTTTTTGTAACATCTTCCACGTAGACCAATGAAAAATCAACCCCTCTTTCAACTTGAAATATCTCAACTGCAGGATCAAATGATAATGCCAGCTTATGAAGCAGCCATATTGAACTGGCCATATTGACAAACGACTCGTAGAATATGCTTAGTGACCTCCAAGACTTCAATACAGCTTCATTTCTATCCAAATTGCTGAAAATTGATGATTCCATTGTGGGATGAATAAGGTCTTCGTACTTCCTTTCAGAAAATCTTGAGAAGTCACAGTTGCGGTTCATACTAAGCAACTCCATTGGGTTGCTCGACACATGTTCGAGCAATTGCTGCAATGAACAAGTGCTCTTAACAGCCTCTGAAGCATGTCCATTATACACAGCTGCACTTTCACTCAAACCAAAGCTTTCTAAATTAAAGCCCTGAAACATCCCCAAACAAACATAGGACCAAAAGGCGTATCTGTTGTCCCCTTGCCTTGCATAATCCATAGCAGGATAAACCGAATTTGCTACCAAATCCAAATCCCACCCAGCTTTTCTCATCAAATCAATCAAAATCTTGCAAAATTTATGCGTTGCTCTGCAAGCATCATGCAACACGGAATCAAAAACCTTAACAGACAACAGAATATCACAAGCAGAACTCAAATTACCCGACAATCTTTGAGACAATTTGGCATTAGCCCTCTGAATCTCAGCCAGTTTTTTCCTCAAAGCCGAAACTTCAATATCCTTATGATCAATCTCCTCCTGTAGCCGATCGGAAACCATCCCAAGAGTCCTCAGCTTGCTCTGATTCTCTTGCACCTGAGCCTCCAAGCAAGACCCAAAAGACAAACCAGACTCAGAATCAGGATTCCTACACAAATCCCTGCACAATTGCTTTAAATCAGACAGCCTCTGAAGATGCGAGACCAGAGCCTTGTCAGCCGCCTTCAAACTCTCCACCTCAAACGGCACGTGGGCAGTCTGTAGCTGAAGATACGAAGCCTCAAACATAGAAACCGTAGCGAAAATCGACATAACCAACGCCTCTCCCTTCTGGGTATCAACGATTCTCTTCTGGTCACTCCCTTTGAAAGTCGACGAACAAGCAGGTGGGTCCGGTTTGATCACGACCACTTTCTGGTCCGGAATGAAATCCTCAGCCGAATCCAACAGCGCGAACCCGTCGGAATCAGAAGGGTCATTTTCGTCGTCGGCAAAGAACTCGAAGGTCTTGCTCTTGAACGCCATTGCAAACTTCTGGAACATCTCCGAGATTTGAGGCGGTTTCGCCGCTGTCGTCGTGGAAACATCCATGCCGGTAACAAAAACAGAAAAGGAAATTTCTTTCTTTCGGGTTTGAACAAACGGATTTCGCCACCGTGCAGAGAATCTGATGGGGGAGGAAGAAACAGAGAAAGAGCAGAGGATTCTTGCTTGGGGAGAAACTGTCACTTTTGGGCTGTGCTTTGGATGGCTTCCAAGGAAGGTATGCAGGATCGGCCGTGCTGGATTTTTCGGCTTTTTTTTTTTTTTTTAATTTATGATTTTCGGGTTTTAATGTTTTTTAGGGGTCCCTAGTTCGGCCGACTTTTTAATGTAAGTTTAACGGTAATAAATGGCAGAGCTTAAGTAACAGGCGTTTTCTTAGTGAACGTAATTGGCCAATAGTATTTCTTCTTTGAGCTGACTTTTTACTTCCCAGCTTTTCTTTTTTCCTTTTAGATCCGAGTTGACTTTGACCGACACATGGTAAGTCCGTAGCCATTGGGTTTGCACTTTTTCATGTAAGTGACGGTTGGGCCAGCCCCCATTGACGGTCTTGATTTTGTGAGGTTTAGGTTACTTAATCGCTAATTATAAAATTAAAGAAGTATTTTACAATTTAGATAATAAAATATTAATTATTTAATGAGGAGGGAATTTTTAATTTTGGGGTTTTTTATTTGTTAAATAATTTTTATTTTATAGTTTACACTATAAAATATGATATCTTTATAAAATTGTAAGATTAAAATAATATTTTAAGTTGTTAGGGATTTGAGATTTTTAATTAAAAATATAAATTTTAAATTTTAAGATAGATAAGAAAGAAGTAAATGAAATAAAGAATTATTTTTTATTATATAATTTATTATTTGATATATTAAAAACATTACTAACTCTTTTTTTTAGAAGACAGAGTAAGTAATTCAATCTATAGTAAAGATAAATAAACGCTTTCCCATGGATAAAAAATACTTATTACATTTAAATATTTCATCAAGAGCTAAAGTTGTTCTTCAGGCCTTTTACACCCTTTTTGTATAATGGGGCCTTGTACAATGAACAATGTGTGAAGGTTGGGTAGAAAAGGCACTGAATATGCGGGGAATTATTTTGTACAAACTTTTTATAATAACTTTGTCTTAAATAAATAACTATATATATCGTATCATGAATTTGGATGTTTCTAATTGTATCTTTGAGGTAGAAGTAAAGAATGCATTAAATATATATTTTTTTTCATAAATAGATATAAAAAAATATAAAAGTTGATATTAATTTTGATATCAAGTAAATTTAATTATACAGTTGATAAATTAAAAATTAATTTTTATTATTTTAATACAAATTTATAATAAAAAATATATTTAATATATCCTTAACATGTGCCATTATAATACAGGTTAAACAAACCTTTTAATAAAATAAAAAATATTAATTATTAAATGATATGTAAAATTATATGAAATAGTTGTTTCTCAATTATATTTTTACCTAAAAGAAAGAAAAGGTATAATGTAATTTGAATTATGTTAGACTAAATAATTTAAATTATTGAATTAAAAACAAACTTCTTGAAAACAAACTTCTTGATATTATAAAATATTTTTCATTCAATAATTTTTATTTTATTATTTAATATATAGTTTAAATTATAAAACAGATAACGTTAAAACAAAGAGTCACATTACAACACGAGTACATAAAGAGTATAAACCCTTTTGCTAATTAAGTGAATCTCCTTGAAGTTGTGTAATGATTATATACATAGAGTCTCTTTCTTTTCCTTTTTTTTTTTAAACATGGGGGAAGTTGGTGGATGAGGGATTTTTTTTAAGCCGTTGATAAAAGTTGAATTTTCAACCAATTAAACCCAAGTAACAAGATTTGAAAATGAATTATTAAACTCGAAAACTTGGTTCAAGTCTCTTACTCTTTTAGACTATAAAATATGAATTATTAAATGAAAAAATAATTTTTAATATCAAGATTTTCATTCTTATTTAATAATGTAAATTATACATTTTAATATTGAACTGCAAAATACTTTTTTAATATACTTTATACATGTGTAGTCTAATTGTTGAGAAATGAGAGTCTAGTTTTATTTCATTTTCATGAATTAATAATCTTCTTCCATTTTTTCAACAAGGTAGTATTATGTCAAATTATATATCAATTAATGTGACAACTAACAACTACAATTAGTCATATGGTTAGGAGAAATTAAATTCAACTAAAAAAATAATGAAATGATATATTAAAGTTCCAATTTAGGGATAGCACCTCAAATGGTAGCTGTCATGGGACCAATACTAGTAGCACTTTTGTTGATGAGCCACAATCATCATCGCTTCAAAGTGTTTTTCCTTTACATGTATTCCAAGCATCCTAACCCCATTTCCTCAGTGCCTTGTTTTATTTTGGGAGTGCCAATGTGTCATCATGACTGCTTTTGTGCACCCTATAAAAAAGTGTATGTGAATTTGTGATGCTTTTAACCGACACTTTGTAGTGGGTTTCCCACAATATCCTCTTGCTTCCATTTTTCCCTAACAGAGTCAGAAATCAATGATAAGGTTCATTTTGATTATCCTAAAAAAAATATTATACGTGAATTAAAAAAAAAAAAAAAGGGTTTGGATTATGGCAGAATACATATTACTAGCTAAATTTTTAGCAGTACTTTCCACAGGAACTTTTTTTCGTTTTTTCATTTTTTTGGCCAGAACTGGAACTTGTTTGAACATCAAGTAAGTCTTTACTAAAACTGGTTTGGTTGGTAGAAAATAATAAGTTGTTAATTTCTTTATCTCATCACGGAAGCACCTATTTGATTGTTAATTCCTAAGGTGATTTAATAGTAATTTCTTCCTAATAAAATTAAAAAATCATAAATATAGACTGCACGTATATGAGTGTAGTAGAAAAAAAAATTAAAGAAAATAGTATTTCATTCTAAAGAGAAGGAAAAAAAAAATGTCTTTAACCTCATCAATTGAATTTATTAATAAATAAATATCATATTATAAGATTTAAAATTTTAAAATAATACTTGAAAAAATTAAAATTTTTAAATATATCATATCAAATGGGAGGAGTATATTCTTAAAATTATACAAAAAAAAAAAAAAAAAAAAGCCACGATATGCATAAAATTTAGCTTTGTAAGACATCTAACAGTATACATAGATATAAAACCGTTTTTAATTGGATCGTAGCACGATTAACTTGTTGGGTGCAAGTTGACCAACAATGTGACTCCTGAAATTGAACTGATTGTTTGTATTAGTGACATTGTGACTTCAATATGTGGATGGTTGGAACACAATCAGGCAAGCACCATCCAGAAAAGACCACTTGGGAAGTAGGTTTTGGAAATTGGAGATTCCTCAAAGGGGTCGGTTGACTGGGAAGAATAAGATATTCGTTTGGTGAAAATTGGTGCCATGATTGAAGTGAGTTAGTGTGGATTTGTTAGATCAAGTCATCAAGTCAAAGCCTAAAAGCATCACCTTTTTATTTCCAAAATATAAAAAAATTAAATAAAACAATGAAAAGCTAAAACAAAAAGGGCAGGTTACGAGTCTAGGGCTTAGTTTGATAATATTGTTTAGTACTGTTATGTAATTGTAATTATCAAAAGTGTTGTATTATATTATCATAAAAAATATTTTAGTGTTTAATAATTTTGTTTTAAAAAAATTATTTATTATAAAATTATTTAATTAGATATATTATTATTTAAAATTAAATTAATTAATAATTTAATTTATAATATTAAAAAAT